AGGTTTTTTAGACTGATACAATATCAAAGACCCCAGCAAATGTCCAGACCAGAAAATGTCAGATAGGCTCAATAAATGCTTTAAATTAATTATCAATCCTCAAAATTGTTGCTGATTATGATTAATTGATTAATCATGTAATTCTGGTGTCTCTGACTAGGGCAAACACTTCTAGCAGAAACAGTTCTTCAGAGAGCACACAGCACCTTCCTGGTTGATTAGTCATTCAAACGCCTTCGTCATGTTCTTGAGGTAACGAGAACTACTGGAGAGAAAAACATCCTATAACTTGGTTGTTCTTTGGCAGAATCTGTTTATCAAATTGTATATGTATCACTTGCCTAATTTAGTTAATATGAGATGGAGACAGTTAGTTTTGACGCACATGATCATTCACTTAAGACATTTTGTCATCTTCAGAAGAACCCAGGTGCTTTCACTAACTGTGGGGTGATGACAGTGTGACAGTGAGCCAGCATGCACAATACTAGGACCTGGAGACTGAATTAGCTGTGATCAATTTGAACCTGTGCTTTTCTTACAGCCAAATAGCAACATGAAATAGAAAAGAGAAAAGGGCACGTGCAATAAAAAAAAAAACTGATGACAAACAAACAAAATAAATCAATGAACACCTATTTTTATTTATTTATTTTGGTGCCTTTAACTTATGTAACTGTCCAGGCCTCACAGTGACCCCGGTTGGAGTGGAACTGATGCTCGAGCCTATTATTGTTTAGTCGTTTGTTATTTGTATTGCTGGAGGGTGGTTTGTTTGTATGTCTGCGTGCGTGCGTGTGTGTGTGCAATTATGTGCATGACTGACTCAACGTGAGACACAGAGGGTGAACTGTGCGCTCAGCTACAGGTTGTTCTAATGTCCCCACCCCCCTCCTCTATGACTCCCTTGAGGGCTTTAGGCAAAAGAGAATTTCTGCTTTTCCCAGACAACACCCTCCAAGCGTCCCATGTGAAGGTGACTCCTTCAGCAGTAGTCATTTACATATAAATCCAAGTTTAGAATATTACTTATAAAACTTTTTGGCATTTTTACACTCAAATAATTTTCCTTTGCACCTCTGGATCTCTGAAACACTGATTAGGAAAATAGAGAGGCATTCATTTAAGTTGAATGCAATGTTGTGATGAAATACATACTGTCTTTTAAAAAAGCTACATAATGCAATGTTTGTACATATGTGTTAATATGTGACAGATCTGAGGGCTTACACTCGAAGAACACTTTTGGATGCTCGCGAGCTGAACCACAATGGACCGCTCCTCCTGGGGGCTGTTAAAACCACCGGAGGAAGAGGAGGAGAGGGGGAGGAAAGGTGGGGAGAGGGAGAGTAAAGTTCACAGAGGGGATGTTGACGGCAGGGTGAAAGGTGGAGGAAGAGGAGGAAAAGCCAAAAGAAGAGAGGAGGTGAGGAGCCAGGTAGGAGGTAAGAAGCAAAGAAAAGGAAGGAAGGAAAAGGGGTGAGTGAGTCCAGTCCAGAAAAAGATAAGGGCAAAAGGTTCAGTCCAGAAAAGAGCAGCTCAGCGGGTACAAAGTTAAGACAGGACGAGGATGGGGGAACATTTTCTGGCAACTGAAATATCCTCATAAAACATGGCTGCAATATGAGTAAGGTGAGGGTTATAGGTCTGACAAATCCTGGTTTTAAGCAACTTAAAACGTAACAAGAAGACCAGGGAACAGAAAGGGAGCCGCTGATGGATTACCACTAATGAGAAGTTCTCTCTCCGAGCAGCCAAAAGCACAAAAACATGAATATGTGCTGAAAGCTCCAGTTACACTTGCTGTGTCTCCGCTCTGTGCACTGACAAAGAAATCTGACTGGGTATGGGATGTAAAGAGACAGAAATGGAAGACGAAGAAAGTTCACAGGCTTGGAATAGATCTTTGCCCAGGTGTTCAAGCTATGAGCGCAACAGGAGTTGTTTATCCTTCTAAGACTACTGAAACATTGGCTGTGTACTTATATATGCTAACACACAAAGCACAATTCATTATTTTGACAAGGGACACATTACACATGATAAAGGTGCCACCTTCCTACCTCATCAAATTGCGATAGATGTAATATTTAACCACAAACAACCAGTGCAGAAAAACATACTTATATTATTTCATCATCAACTATGACATGTTGTGAAAAACGGCAATGTTTAACATCTTCACACTAACTGTTTCTGCTTCATTATAGAAAGAACATTATGTTAAAATTCAAGTCAAGATTAAATAACTGAGTAGCAACCAACTTTTAATACGCAATTTGATGTCTTTAATTACCAAAAAGAAACTTCCAGGAGAAACAAAGTGTAATTAACTAATCATGGCCTCATATATTCATAATCAGCACCTTGCATTTTAGATCTGCATGCTTCCTCTGCACTGAGTTTTGGTTTGACTAAGCAGGACAAACACATGGGGCATTACGTATGCTACACAGGAGCTAATTAATCTTCCCAATCAGCACCAGGGGCCATGGGCATTTCTCTTGTTTTCCCTCCATACTGTGAAGTAGTTGGCTATTTAGGGAGAGCTAGAGCAGAGCAGGGAAAGGGGAAGGAAACGCCTGTCTAGACGCCCACCAGAGCTGCGGCCCATACATTCTCCAGCAGCCCCCACAGACGCACCCCTCACCCTGAACATCTACCTTCTTTGCTCCATCTCAATATATGTAAAGGGATTCTCAACACTCACATTTGGAGTTTTGCACATTCAGACACTCAGCTGCTCTCATAAATTAAACATATGATGTAGTGTAAATGAGACACATTAATAATAAATGTACACAGACACCTCAGTGTGTGGGGAGCTTGCACCACTAACAGCTGCCACCCAAACATCAACTGTGTATTTAAATGACCACACACACACACACACACACACACACACACACACACACACACACACACACACACACACACACACACACACACACCACACACACACACACACACACACACACACACACACACACACACACACACACACTACACACCACACACACACACACACACACACACACACACACACACACACACACACACACACACACACACACACACACACACACACACACACACACACACACACACACACACACACACACACACACACACACACACACACACACACACACACACACACACACACACCCACCACACCACGGTTGACACAGAGAGAGTAAACAGGGCAGGTGAGTGAGGAATGATGGCTGCTCCTTAGCAGAGCAGGTCTCCACGCCTCGCTGCCTCTCTTTCACACACCCAGCCCTGTCTGCTCAGTCTCAGCCTGCGACACACACATACTACGCAACCAGTTAATCAATCATAAACGCGCACACAATGCATTGCCTCTCTATGAGGCAGAGCCAGGCAAGTTAAAAAGCAATGTCTCTGGTTCATAACATGGACCGCCTTATACCTCAAATCCAAAGCTGAGGTTGTTTTTTTAATTCAGCTGGCTTTTTTGTGCCCTTTCAGTGACATACAGATGTGTTTTTAACTCAAATAATGTATATTAAAATGTGATGATAAGGTTGTTGTACTGTCTCACTTGTGGTTTCAGCTCTAATTTAATCTGAAGAAAGATACTTTACAAAAACGTTGGAAGAAAGTGGATGCCTGAAATTAACCAGGAGTGTATTCACTCACTCTGTAATTTTGGGATCTATGTTGCCGATCCACAAGCGGTTTCCGTCATGGGCCGCACTCTCTGACATGATGGAGGCATTTTCCACTGTCTCTGCCGCAGACGTCATGGGTACTCTGTGGGAGGCAGGAAGAGAAGACAGAGAGATTAGGATTACAAAAAAAAGTCAGGGCTAATTTTTATACATTATTTGTCAGATACTCAGCAGCCATTTAAGTTTTTAATTGGGAGACAGAAATGTTGCCTTACTACTTAAATGTTGAGTAACTACAGTATCTATTCTATTCTAACTATATATATACATATATATATATATATCTGGTACTCCATGATATACGCTGGTTAGGTCAAACTGATCAATTAACATAACGGAGTAATGTAGACAGTACATTTTGAATAACACAGTAAACAGGGTTATGCAATCTGAAAATAAGAAAGTCAATCATCACTCAGTTGAGTTCGATAGATTCATTTCCTTTTTGTGTAATAGGCACATTGTTTGAAATGTAACCAACATGTTATATCGTAGCATTATTTTCAAACAGTGCACTTGTTTTATTAAATATGAATTGTATATCTATAAATATCCTACAGTATTCATTTTTATAACAATTAGGAAATGTTGTAAGGTTACTTTATTGACAGTGTCAGGCAAACAGTTGGTTATTTAAACATAATACAAAGGAAACTCAAGGTTTCCACTTAGGAAACGACGACTTGCTAACATTACTAGCTAACGTTAGCTTAGCTAACCACAGGTTAATCGATTAACTACAAGTTATATTAGCGGTATAATATTGAGGTAGTTCAAACCGATCGTGTAAGGTTAAATTTATATCGTTAATACATGTGGTGAGATGTTGAAGATAAGCTAAATCTAACCACTAAACGGTTAATAGTCCGTTTAGGACGAGCAGTGGATTGCTAGCAGTTAGCTAGCTTAGATAGTATCACTTTACCTCGTCGATCTGTCAAACTTCCTCTTGGATGGCGACTCACTACTTAACCTTGATGTGCTACGGATCCCACCTTGGGAGGATTCAGTTACGTCAAAACGTAATACATATCATTTCAAGCTACTATTTATGTTTTCCTCCCATAAAACTGACCCTAGATTAGCTAACTCGAATGATAAACAGTCGCCTTGCTATCGTCTCACAACAAAGGCGCAGGGTGATGCTGTAGTTTGTTTAACTGTCTGTGGAGTCGAGAGGAGGCACTCGTTTTAGTGTTGGGAGTTTCTCGAAAATCTCCCCTCATAGTGGTTTGTACCTTCAGGCAGAAACCCCGCCCATTCGGTGTACCCTTTACGATATTTCAAACGCACAACCGCCTCAAAGTGTTGGCGCGTGATGATGACAACATAGATGTCATATGTGGCTTATCCCGAGCTAACATGCTTCTGTTAGGGCTGTGAACTTGAAAGTAAGTATGCTGTTTGGGGTAATTTAAAGTTATATGTCGGATTTTGCTGTGCGGTAATTAAACCAACGACCGTTTTATATTTAGACTCTAAGTGGTTGAGGTTAATATTGAGTTGTTCCCGTGGTATGCACAGGAGAATGCTACAAGGGCTATACGCACACCCCCATCACACCGACCTTCACACCACATCACTTTACCCAGAGGTTTTGCAACCAGTCAGTTATCTTAAATATATACGTAGGCCTACTACTTTTAATGACATAGTACCAACTGCTTGCATGATGATAAAAAGGCAAGGTGAACTTTCATGTTCTGTATTAAGACACATCAGGGACGCACAATGATCCAGTCAATCAAGAATGAATATCTGTGTGTCCTCCTGTTACTTAAACAGTGTGTTTAATGTGAGGTTGATAGATTAACGCACAAGCTATAATGATCAATTCAAAAGTGATATATTCATATTCATTCATATAACTGGACAAAAATGGCAACATGACCATTGACTCCTGATGTTAATCAGCATTCTTGCAAACTGAAGGGTGTCCATCCTGTGTTTTTACACTGTTTTCTATTAATATGCTCTGTCCCTTGTTGAGACCATTATTATTCTGCATTTTCTGGCACTTGCTTGACTAAACAGTTATCAATGAAAAAATACAAATAATTGAGAGCTTAATTGATATTTATAATAATCTTTAGTTGTATGCTCTATCTGCACAGTCTGTTTGAGGAGGCAGAACATTATCAGATACACTGCTGTATTATTCCTGCTCAAACTGTAAAGTGTGCAGAGGAGAGATCATGCAGGCTCACCAGCTGGTTTCTGCCACTGGAAGAAGGAGCGGTGTATCTGCAGCTGCTGTGTGTGAAATCTACAGGATATGAGGCTACAGTATCCCACTGAACACCTGTGCTTAACTTTTTATGCCTGACTTCCTCTCTAAAGAGATCCGTCACCGTCCCACATCTGAGCCTATCTGCTCTGCCACAGTGCGTAGTTTTATCATATCAGCTTGTCAGGAAACCTGCCAGCCACCGATACCTGGTATGGGTTTGTATTGTAGGTGGTGGTCCACAGCCTAGCCTAAATATTGACTTTGGAATATGTTTGATTATGGTTAATATCTAGAGTCAATGTTTGATTGACACCAGGGACTTGGGTGGGTGTGGCTTTAAAAACTAATGAGGACACTAAAATCAGTAATGATGTAAATGTAAGGCTGATTCCGACATGTTTTTTTTTTAAACGAAAAATCCCAAATGTATCTGTTACTGACAAGAGAGAGCATACATTTTTAATCACATCAAATAAAATAATTTGGTGTAATATTCCTGGAAGTGTGGAGGACATTTCTAATGGCATTGAGAGCACTATGTAAAGGTAGAAGTAAATAAGAACGATATTTGAAAACAATCAGAACCATTAATATTATTTCAATATCTTTTTTCTGCGGGTGGGTTTTGTTAATGGTTGTTTGGACATAAGACTGGTGCTGAAAAGGTTTTCTTTTTTTTTTTAATATCCTTTTTATAAAACCTAATTTAGGTCAGTGAAGAAGATAAGCAATTAGCTGAAAATATGTATGCTTTTTCTGCAGAAAAAAAATCCTCAGTAGTAGTATTATGCATATTTGAAAGTTCTTCTTACTTCTCGTCTTTATGCAACAGTTTGTTTCTCCTCACAGCTACGAGTTGTAAACACACACCAGACAATAGAATATGTCAATCAGGCTGCAGAGCACTGTGAGCTCTTCACAGCCACTGACTGTGAAAGACAGGCTATAGTGTGTGTTTGTGTCTGTGGGCTCAGAGTTTGTCTGTGCCTGTGTGTACTCCGAGGTTCAGTGACACAGTTCACAGCCGAGAGCCAGTGTGCGAGGTGGGAGGTGGGTCTTACACAGAAAAGGAGTGGCGGTCTCATAATGTTGTGATGTTTCTGAATGGGAGGTTCCTCTTCAGGAATGCCCAAACAACTGTGCATGAGTGTAGACGTAGTGCTGGCCCTTGTTAGGTGTTACTGCGTGTAATGTAGCCTGTACAGCTGAGTGAGTCAACAGCAGTGAATTTAACTTTGTATAAGAAGGAAAGTAGAAACAAATTGAATTAACAATGTCTCTTCTCTATTAGGTGTTCAAATAACTTGTTATAATAATAATAATAAATAATTAATTAATTACATTTTTATTATAGCGCTTTTCCTGGTGCTCAAAGCGCTTTAAAAATACACATTACACATATCAGACATGTAACAGTCATTACTGTGGACAATATCCACAGGAGCAAATTCGGGTGAAGTGTCTTGCCCAAGGACACAACGGCCTGACGCAGTGAGGAGGCGGGTTTCGAACTGTTGTTCCCCAACGCCCCTTGATCTGATGATCAACGGGACCCTAACCCTGCGCCAAAAACTGACCCCAATTATAATTATTAAGTTATAATGTTATTGTTTACAACTGTGCTTTCCCTGTTATGATATGCCAACATGGTTTCTGTGAATAAGATCTACTGGCAGATTAATTTATAATACTTTTTATTTTTTTTATAGGGCAATATGTCTTTGCTTTTTTACATTTACATTTTCTATTGATTTTTTCTATGTCTCAAATGTCTGCTGTTATATTCTTTGACAGAGCCTGCATAAATTAAGCTTTTTTTTTTAACTGTTCTCTAGAGACCTTTTATTTGAGTGTACTTGTTATTAATTTGACCTTTTTCTTTATAAATGAGACTTTAATGACAATTTATTTAGTGTGTATTGTATGTGAACTGTTTGCTGTACAGTGTATGGTGAGTGTTGTTTTATTTGCCAGTTCCAAAGACAACACATTACCTCACATCATCATCAGATAAATAACAGAAAGACACTATTGGTACCGTCATTTCAGTACAGGATGAAGGCCTACCTCCTACTGGCTGATATGAGCTATTACTTCATGTTAATAAATATTACCAGAGCTGATTTAACCTATCTGTGAAAAATGTTTCATACCGTCCAGGCAATTAAATGCTTAATTCAAACCGTTTCTTTCAGTTTCAGTCATGGCTATGCACCGCCTCAGTCTGCTGCGGCCTCTGCTCTGTCAGTCCCTGGTGGTCCGGTCTCCCCTCGTGGTCACCTCCAGGGTCAGTGCACCACTTCTGTACCCCAACACCCCCACCTCCTACCCTGCTGCATGCACCAGGCTCTATGCCACCAAGAAGGCAAAAGGTCAGTGAGGAGATTTTCTGAGTTCACATGTGTTCAACTTCTGTGTATCTGTTGGCCAAAACTGGGTTACGTGACTAGATATTATCTATCTTAAATATCAGTTTCCACTCTTCCCTTACTGATCTGCTCCTTTCCCTCTCTTCATCTTCCAAGCCAAGGCAAAAGGCCAGTCAGCTAAAGTGAATATTAATTCAGCTCTGGTGGAAGACATCATCAGTCTGGATGAATTGAAGGAGGAGATGACCGCTGTTCTCAATAAGCTCAAAGATGACTTCACACGCAACCTCAGCATCCGAACCCAGTCAGGTATTCAGCTTATCTCCGTTACTATCTATTATCTCCGTCCGAAACTTTTTCAAGTCTCTCTCATGTTGTCAGTCTGCCTTTGTCTCCTTAGAAAACTCTGTTTGATTCTCAAACCTTACAGATGGCAGTATAAGTAGAGCAAGGAAGGTGTTGTCATACATTTTTTGGTTTTATTGAGTTGCTCTGTTTGTTATTGAATTGTATTTACAGGGTTAAAGAAGAAAACATGCTGGAACAAAAGAACAAAAGCAGTGAATTGTATATCAAACCACATACAGATAGGTTGAAGTAGTATTTGTATATATTTTCAAGAAGAATCTTCAATCTGACAGTTAAGTCTGTGATCTCACTGTTGTCTGCGGTCCAATCAGAATGATCAAATGTTTACCTGGAGCAAAACCAATGTTTGATTCCAGTTTTTCCAAAGAATGTTTTTTTAGTAACATCTTTCCAAAAAGTGGCTTTTCTTCTTCTCTATACAAGCTGCTTGTTACGTCCTCTTTCCTAGACCAGAGGTAACGTTGTATCAATCTGCCTCTGGATGGACTGCCATGACATCCATGAGGTTACAGACATCCATAAGACTTTCCATTTTATTTCCATAATGGTCGTTTAGGCAACACTATATGCATGAATCACTAAGTAACATACACTGCTGAGGCCACACATGGGGCTACCATATTGTTTTACTATGAATTTGACAAGAAATACTTACATGCCCTGTCCCTGGGAGAATTTGACTTTGGGATGAAAGTCAGTAAGGCTTCCTGTGTGTTTGTATCTACCTGACAAAGCGCCCAAGGGCTGAAAGTGAGCCCCAGTGTGACCTTACCTTGACCCTAGGTTGACCTCTGTTTCCCCAACTACATCCTGGTCATGACCCTTTTGCCTCTGGGTTCGAACAAATGGGAGCTGGACTCAGAGGTGGGGGGTTATAATGGAAGCTCCCACAGGAGATGGCGGCATTTAGAATCAGACTTCAAACTAAAAGTGTCTGAGCTTCTACTCCTTTTCCTCCTCAGAAGAAAGTGAGCTTTCTCTCCTACATTTGATTTATAGCATGCACAGTCTTTTTGACATTTACACAGCATTCTGGAAAATGAAACAACAGAAGCATAAACATAAGTATTCTAGTGAACACCACAATGTCTCTTCTTGTAAATATCCTCCACCTGTTTCATTGATTTTTGATACATTTTCAATATGCTCATTTGTCATCATGTTCCCTTCAGCTTTTTGCGTTCTCCACTCATCATTCAGTGATTTATGGTTTATGGAGTCATTGTCAATCTTCGAACCCCTCCCTCTGTTTTGCAATAATTCCCAGCTTTATTTTTTGGCCTCCACTTATATTATATCTTCAATCTTGTGTGTCATACTTTTGGATTTAATTGCTTCTTGACCAACAGGGAAACATTTGTTCATAGGTCTCTGTACCCCTCCCTTCCTGTCTTCAGCCCTCCTTGTTTCTCTTGTCATCTTGTCTCCTTCCCTCCGTCCCTCTGTCATCCTCGCTCCATCTCTCTGTCCCCTCACTGCTGTCCTCAGCTCCATCCGTCCTCCTCCCTTCTGTCCAGCTGCACAGTAATCCAGCGAGGCAGCAGGACTTAGAGCTGACAGGAGAGATGAGATGGTGGAATGGAATGATGTCAGCTGAATGTGTGTGTAGGTGTGTGTGTGTTTGTTCCATCAACCTCTCATCTGGTTCTCATTAAGCTTATGAGTATGCATGTGTGTGTGGGTATGACTGTATGCGCTGTTGCAATGAATGCATAATGTGCATGTGTTTGTCTGTGTGTTGCAAAGGTGTAGCCAAGTCATAGACGTAGAGAGATGATCAATGCTTGACCAACATGTTGTGGTCAGTCACAGATGGGTAATCCGGCCCGAAAACTATTTCTGTTTCCAAGAAAATTCAGACGGAGACAGTTTGGACACAGTACTGCTGGAAAAACCATTGAAACATTTCATATACCAATTGTTTTTTAAGTTGAAGATAGAAGCTTCGAGAAATAGTTTCAATTTTTAAGGAAATAAACATATTCACTGTCTTGCAGCGAGTTTGATAAGACCAACAATATCACACTTGTAACTGCACATACAATTTCAACCATATTCAATGTAAATATTGCTATATTTGACTATATTTTTAAATATTTTTAAATTTTATTAGTTTTCTTGAAATAGTTTTCTATCTGTGTTTTTGTTTTATTTGTATGTATCTTTATGTATGCACCATGACACCAAGTCAAATTCCTCCTATGTGTTAACCTACTTGGTAATAAGTCTGATTCTGATTGTAACTTCTCTGCAGTTCAAACAGCTTTTCAGACTTTTTTAGCTATTTTTGTTTTGTTTTATGGAACACAATATTTCTGTTTTGATTCATTCTCACGCTCCACACAAATAAAAAGGCCTGTTTAATGTTAATAACCAAGAAAAAGTATAGTGTACATTTATATCATACTATTCCCACCAGATAATACTGCATTGGCATTTGCAATATTTTGATAATGAAGAGATTTGTCAAATGCTTCCTAAGCCATCGTCCTCTGACCTTCGTCTTCTCTCTCCGCCCCCCCCCCCCCCGCCCCTCCTCACCCTCCACTTTTGTAGTTAAGGAAACGTCTGTCTGTCTGTCTGCCCTCCTAAAGTGTTAGCAGATGTGAAGGTGCTCATTGTCAAGGCACAAGTAACAGAGACGGACAGTCATAAGGTCATAGATACTGACATGAAAAGTCTGTATATACACTGAGATACATTTAAAGAAGGAGATTAATTACCAGGCAGCTGGTATGTGGGCCATCCAGTTTGCACCAACTTTTTTTATTTCTTCTGGTCTCTTTTTTTTCTCGCCCTTGAAATCAGATGATAAATGAATCTTTAGAATTACACTATTGCCTCACCTCCCCTTCACCCCCACTTTACCACACACACCCCACTGGGTAAGCAGTGAGCGAGTGATGTAAGACAGAGGTGGAGAAGGAGGAAACAACTGCGTCTGAGGTTAGCCAGATGGAGGAGAGGGAGAGGGTGGATGGAGGGAGGGAGGGAGGGAGGGAGTAAAGGGAGAGAGGGAGGAAAGGACAGAAGTCGACCCTTGTTGGCAAACCAACTTTTGTCTCTCTGTGTTGACAAGGAAGAGAGGCAGTAGATCATGGAAACTCTTAACACTCTAACTGAGGGTTTATTTCTTACTCATGCAGTTTGTGGCTCCTGCGGGACATTCATTCATCTGTCTGTGTGTTTAGTTGTTATCCTGTCGACTAAATATATAGGAAAACATACTGTCACTCATTAACTCTGCAGGGAAATAGTGTCATTAAACTAGAAAAGCTGCAGCCTGACCAATACTAGATAGTTGGGACCCGCCAATATTTATCTATAAAAGCTAAATAAATCTGATAATAATTCAAGATATGAAGAAGACAAATCTTTCTTACCCATTTTGCTAGAAAGATATATGCCTCGCAGTACAGATATTTTACAAATATCAATATACTTCAAAATGTTGAATGTTTAAACGATAAATTGACTGCATTTAGATATATTGTTTTTTTTCTTGTCCCACACTGGCAAAGTTGCCACCTGCTCAGGAGCAATAAACATTCACACACACACTCACACACCAATGGCTGTACTTAATATTTGGGCTTCAATATCTTTCCCAAAGAAACGTTTACATTTAAACAACTATAAATAGACCTATATTACCTTTTTATTTGAATTAATCAAATATACATAAAACGCAGCATAAAATGTGTATTGATATTTTGATATGTGTTTATATTGGCATATGAAATTAGTAGATTAGTCGCACAAAATCAGGGTGTCTGTGTTGTACCTTGCAACGAAATGCCTTGAATGTCAATATATTTAAAGGTCCCATGTCATGGCCATTTCTACTGATCATAATTCCATTGTTGAGGTCTACTAGAATAGATTGACATTGTTCAATGTTCCAAAATGACATTGGTTTCTCATACAGCATCTCTGTATAGCATGTGTATTCACTCTCTGTCCTAAACGGCTTGTTGGAGCTCCTGCCCCCCCCTCCCTATGAGCCCACTGTGCTCTGATTGGTCAGCTTGCCCACTCTGTTCTGATGCGTGGGGTCTGGGTGCCGTGTTGGCGGGACGTTGCGGGGCTCGCTGCTGTGAGGAGCGGACAGTGTGAGCTGTATTACTGGTGTCATTTCCAGGTTGCTGCGTGGGGTCTGCGAGACATCGCGAAACTCAGCCTGAACTCAGCCTGAGTCCAACCATGGACGTGGGAAGGGGGGGGGGCTGCAGCACCCCCATCTGCGAGGCTCCACTAGCACCCGCACCCCCAAACGCAGCGCACCTACAGTGTAAGCGCGCCACAGTTTCGCCGCTGCGAGGCTCCACTAGCACCCCCCCCAGCGCTGTGTGTGTGTGTGTGTGTGTGTGTGTGTGTGTGTGTGTGTGTGTGTGTGTGTGTGTGTGTGTGTGTGTGTGTGTGTGTGTGTGTGTGTGTGTGTGTGTGTGTGTGTGTGTGTGTGTGTGTGTGTGTGTGTGTGTGTGTGTGTGTGTGTGTGTGTGTGTGTGTGTGTGTGTGTGTGTGTGTGTGTGTGTGTGTGTGTGTGTGTGTGTGTGTGTGTGTGTTTTCACGGATTGGTCCATTTGCACCAATTGGTCCATTTGGGTATGGTCACGTCACTGTACCCAGGAAGAATAAAATGGAAAAAGAAAAATCTCCAACGAGGCGTTCTGGGGCAGCATAGACAGGTCTTTTCTGTGTTAGTTTTACTCGCTACAGGGTGTACTTTAAGGGTTTGTGACTTTGCAGACCTTTACATGCATAAAAAGCTACATAACACACAAGGGGACGGGTAATAACCGGAAAAGCATGACATGGGACATTTAATTCAATTAGGTAAATTAACAATTCTTTTGATGTGCTTTTGTTTAGGAGCTCTGGATCACATTGTGGTGACGACACAAGATGGCAAGTTCCCTCTCAACCAGCTGGGACAGGTCTCCATGAAATCCCCTCAGCTCATTATGATCAACATGAGCAGCTTTCCAGAGGTAAGACGATCACACACACAAACACACACGTACAGATTCTTCCTAGACGTATGTGTTTGTCTCACGCAGACTAGCACGCTGTAACTAAAAGCTTTATAAAAATAATCCGACAAGACGACAAAGATCCGAAAGACAGATAGATGGCCTTTGCAGAAGGAAAAGTAAGCCAGAGCAGAACTCTCGAAGCCCTCAGTTCTGTACAAATGAAACCTGAGCGGCCGCTCTCTCTCCAACTGTGTCTCAGATGCTAATTGATTGATCACTCGAGGAGGCCTTTGTTCCGCGGTGAAAGATAGCAGCATGAACCCAAACTGTGTGTGTGCGCGCACTGGGATGTGGTTCTGTCTGTGTGTGAGTTTTCACAGAATAGGAAATGACCTCATTTTACCCCCAGGTTAGGAAGGAATGGATTATTTTCTTTTTTCTACTCCTTTTTCTTTCCCTCTTTTCCGTTTTAGATCATACAACACTGCTAGTCAGAGGGGGCGTCTTGCATTTCAAGACCTTCTGGTGTCCTGGCAAATCTTAATGTGCTTTTTTTAGCAGTTACACAAGACTGAATCATATATCCCCAAAAAGTCATGAATAAAGATTTAGTTCTCGAAGGTCTTATTTAAAAAATATGTTTAGATGAATAAGAATAATGAATGCTAATTACAAGTGAAGCTTGCAAGTACAAAATGTCACTCAGAAACCTGCCGATAGTTATTGTCAGGGAATAATTTCGCCCTACATGTTTACCTTTTGCCCTCTGATGCAGCTGACCAACCTTGATCAGCCGTTGTCTCCCATAAGGAGGGGCTGCCCTAGCAAGTTGTTGTTGTTACCAGTTTATTACCGGGCAACTCTCGGTGAGAGATAGTTATTGTTGTGGGACACCTGGAACACATCCTTCTCGGGGTGTAGATGACCCAGAGCCATAAGCGACAACAAATGTGATTCAGTGTCCTCAGCTGTTTAGTCTATCTATTGAAGAATGTTGATTATTACACTCTGAACTAGTTAAAACCTCGAGCTACAGGAGGGTTCTTCAGAATTGATTGTGGCATCTCAACCGTGTGGTCAACTCGCGGCCCGTGACACGTCTTGTGAATTCTCCGGCCGAAGCTCCAAATAAACCGTCAGTGTTTGCCATCAAAGCTCCAGCTCTCCTCGTGTCTCTTTGGGTCCTGACTCTCCATTGCTACAGAAGTTTCCCCCCACAGTTATGATTACGCAAATAAAATAAATTCATACAGTTAAGTGCAAGTACGAAAATACATTACAATAAAAACTGATTAAAAGGGTCTACTGTCCAGGTAGCTGCGCTGTGATGCTGTTCTTTTATCTAACTGCTAATGTTGGCATGAAGACAATGCTAGCATGCTGATGTTAAACAGGTATAATGTTTGTATCATGACAGCCATCTTAGCTCTGCACATTGGCATGCTAACATTATGTTTGGTACAATTCATCCTAACTGGAGCATGAATGCGAATTTAATGGCATGCAAGTCAGGGTTGGAATGAAGATTGGTGAGATATTTCAAGTCTGAACCAAAGAGTCCGACCGCCCGGCATTGCCAGCCCTACATGGCTAAAAACACAAAATAGCAACATAAAACACTCTGTGGAGGCAATAACAGATTTACATTCTAAGGGAAGTAAAACAAAATCCAAACCGACATGATCTGTTGCTGTTTAAAACCGTTTTTTAAAGCTTCGATGACTTTCAAAGGCAGTTTGTTATTTTGGAGAACCACCTGTCTGTTATAAATAAAAAACAAGTTCTTGCAACCATATTCCACCAGCTTCTATTTTTCTACCGGTCACCTTTTGTGAATCTGAAAGGTGTGGTTACACCTGTTTGTTCTGTGTTGTAGCGGCATCACAAAACATGCAAATCCAAGCATGTATCAGCATCTTCAATCTGGAAATCTACTCTTCAGCCTGAACGGTCTTGCCGTGAGTCTATTTTCTTTCCAGGAACTCCGACCGCAGACCACACACACACACACACCGGCAGACACACTCATGCATGCACACGATACAATGTCATGCCCTGCGCTGCCCATGTCCCACACAGAGGTGAGTCCTCAGTACCCAGAGCTAATAGGCTTATAATGATGCCTATCCATTACCAGGCACTCCAGAGGCCCTAGCATTGTTTTCCATTCATTCATTAAAAGCAGCCAGGGAAGGCATGGTGGAACTAACAACAACTACCAGCAGGCTTAGATCAAGAGCCAATTTGGTGTGTGTGTTTTAGGAAGAGTTTGCATGTTAAAGCATCCCACCACTTTGTTCATAAATCGTTTTCTTCAGGACTTTTTATTTTACACGCACACACACACACACATTCCTCCCCGCTCGCCTCTTTGCTTTGAAGCGGGCCGTCAAGCGTTTGATGTGAAACTTCAGTGTAATTTCTCTTCCTCTCGAACATATTAACCAGAACCTGCACGGCCTTTACACAGAAATTCCCCTCGGTTTTCCGTAACCACCGGAGTGGCCGTCGGGAGAGAGGAAACGGTGATGAATTCGATGCTGAGAACGATCAAACATAGGTAGGGGCTGAATCTATCACCCCACACTCAAAGAGCGCAACCAGAGGCCTGCGCTCCGGATGAATTTGACAAAGGAAAAGAAACCACATGAATTAATTTAATGCGCGCAAATAAATTCCTTTAATCTCACTGCCATTTTTTTTTCCCTCAGCGGAGAAGGCCAGAAGGAGCTGTCGAAAATGGAGAGTAGGTTAGAAATGGAGTAGAAAAAAAACAGATGATATGCTTTTTCCTCGCATTTGCACACTTTGTAATGATCAGCTATGGGAATTGTCATGCGGTTGCAGAACTGATGCGAGGAGTGTGACTTTGTTTCAGTAATTCAAAGGATTTGGCTTCCTCTGCCTTGTCTGTCTGCACTGTGTTTGTCTCTCGGGTTAACATGTAGTATTTGCTGGACTAAAGGGTTGTGCTGCATATGTTGGATCAAGTTTTGATGTTTCACATATGTTAAGACTGTTTTAATATTCACCAGAGTAACATGCAAGCTTGTTCCTCTGCCTGCTGGTCTGCATGCCTGCCAAAAAAATACAAAAATACTTTCAAATAGAATTCCAAAGAAGCCACTTTACTATTAAAGTATTGTGTGACTGTAGACCAACATAACCTCTTAACATGTATTTGTCTGATCCTGTTATGGGTTGAGGTATCAATGTCATCTCTGCCTAGTATCCAAATTGACACTAGATCACTTGTTCCCTAACAAAACACAAAGTTCTCTTCTTTTCATCTCCCATTAAATTGTTTCATCCTTTCAAAATAAAACAGATGTTCGAGAAATATTTGTTGCCATTTTATTCTAACAGATGAGTGACATTTTCTGCCACCCACTGTATTGGTACTGTAAATGTCCAGTAGATGGTAGATGTAGCCTCATGCAAAATCTGAACACAATACAATGAAAGTGTTTTAAATGTTAGTTTAAGTGAATGTAAATATTCATGTGCTCACCTCAATATAATAACCATTACCCACATCTATTAAAAGCAATAAGATGATTTTATTTTTGAAAATACTTTAAATGTGTTCACACAAACTCAAAAGCACATGTGTGTTAGTGTGTGTGTATCCATGTATCATACACAAACACCCGCAGACAGTCCTGTGAGGTCACTGTGGGTCACCGCCTTGCCCTGCAACCTCTCAGTCCTGTCCCAGAGGGCCGAGCGCTGACAGTGGCCCAAGGCACTTCCACACTGCATCGGCTTCCCCTGACACACACACACACACACACACACACACACACACACACACACACACACCCCACCCAAACACACACATAACATACAACCCACCACACCTTAATAGAAGCCAGCTGGAGCCTGGCCACTACCTGCAGTTGTAGCACTGCTTTTCCATTCACACCAGCAAGCACACATTAATATGTCTGTGTGTGTGTGTGTTTCTGATCTTTATGTCGTGTTTGCCCCAGGATACAGCTGCCGCTGCCCGTGCCCTGAGAGAGAGTAGCATGAACCTTAACCCAGAGGTGGACGGGACAATCATCAAGGTGCCCGTTCCCAAGTGAGTCTCTTCCTAAAACACACACACATATACACATATACACACACACACACACACACACACACACACACACACACACACACACACACACACACACACACACACACACACACACACACACACACACACACACACACACACACACACACAACCCCCAAGGGCAGAATCGCTTTCTGCACTTTCTTTCTTTTCAATCCTTTCCTTACCCCTTTTCCCTTTCTTTTGTTATCCCTCTTTTTCCCCACTCCCACTTTTATACACTTAACTTAAGTATTTACCATGAAACAAATTAGGGGATCTGATAAATCAAGTAATCAATTTATAAAATGGTATTTCATGCTATGATTAGTTGGATCCTCTTAAGGAGGCCAAGATTATTTGATATGGCAAAACTACATTTTGGAATTGAGAATAATTGCAATGCAATGCATTTTACATTGGCATTTTATAAACTAAATAAGATACCAATAAATCAAAAGAATATCAATACATGATGCAAATCCTAGACCACAACCTTACAGTTAGTCTCTTTCATGCTTTTGAAAGTCCCCCCATTAATGAACCCCTGTAACTGACAGATTTATTGACTTTGGTTTGTAGATGTATAGAGACCCCGAGTGTGTTGATGTGAGGGCCGGGTCACTCTTTCTCTCTGCCAAGTCAAACAACCTTACGAAAAACTATCCGTCACTCACTCACTAAACTACTTTGTGTGTTTATCATTTTTAGTTTTTTACATATCTGCCCATGTGCATGTAAGCATACATGTATAAATGCCAATCTGTACTTATGTGCATTTGGGTGCATATGTGTGTGTGTGTGTGTGTGTGTGCACGCGTGGAGCAGCAGGTGTTAGTCTGGCAGAGGAGGGACACAAGAGTCAGGCTGCGTTCCCCCTGCAATCAGTCTCGGCACGCTCCAAGCCCACATTTGCATTTCCAAAGAGAAGGCGCTCCTTGATTGGCCCTGGAATCAGTAATTAGGCCGTATTGTTTGTGGTAAATAGACACCACACTTGGATTGTTTGCAAATAGTCCACGAGGCAAAAACAACGAGAAAAAAGCCAATTAAAGACAAAGAGGGAGAGTGAAATGGGAAGTATGATTTTCTGAGTGATTAACGAATGCAAAGTGAATACAAAATTGTCGGGATGACGAGCATCTTAGCTCCGGTCCCTCAGTGAGATGGACTCACGGGTCAGAACTGAAATAATTAGACCTCATGCTTACATGCCCTTAACATTAAGTAGTAAGTAAGGTTGTTATTATTTGACATAATGCATTTTTTATTATGTGGTTTTGTGTTTAAAAAGAGTCTGACTAACCGTTTATTTTTAGGTCTCTGTGTGTAGTTTAAAGGCATCTTGTATTCCTGTAGCAATTCCTCTTAAAAGTAGGAAAATACACTTTCTCCACCACTGAAAGCTAAATATCATAGTCATTAGCTAATATCATCATTTGGTACAGTGTATAACCTTGCTTTAAAGAGTAGCTGCTACTTTACCCCACTGACATCCATTGAGCTAAACGTACTTGCATAACTCTCCTTCGTCATCTTCATAGCGACGTACAGAGACATATGCGTTTTAACCCTTGCTTGGAACAATCCATGTATGTCAACTTCTGTCTTACTATTTGTTCTTTTCTCTCATGTCCTCCCTTCCCTGTAGAGTAACACGAGACCACAGGGAGAACCTCGCCAAGCTGGCAAAACAGTTCGGCAACAAGGCTAAAGAATCACTGAGGAAGGTGCGATCTAACGCTGTCACACAAGTCAAAAAGACCAAGGATGCACAATCGGAGGACACCTTACGTCTTGTGGAGAAACAGGTAAGAGATATGGAGAAGGACAGCAGTTCTAATACACATGGTTACATCGATAGATCAGACTGAGAAGGGATATTTTAAGGAAAGTTGAGTGTTGTTGGATGCAAGAGATGATTTTCAAAACCTCTGATAATTGGAGCCTAAAGACCTGAAACTGTTAATGCAGTCCAAGAGTTGAAATAAATAGGGAGAAATTCATCATAAGCCCAGTCATATTCTGTCTTATTTCAGCTATATAATGCTGTCCGTTTACCAGACATACAATAGAGGGAGGTGAATGTGTATTTTGTTCATCTTTCCCTCCTCTTCCTTGACAGATTCAGCAGATGGCGGACAACATGGCGTTGGACATCGACAAACAGCTTGCAGCCAAGACCAAGGAGCTGCTCGGCTGACTGTGACGATTAAAAGGTCTTATTTTGGTTATTTTGGTTATAGCTGAACTTCAACTGGACTCATTCATATCTGGTTAATAATACACTCACTAGCATTGGGGAGATGCATCGCTGCTGGGGGATATCTGGGTTTAACCGTCAGTGCACAAACAGAAATTGGTACGGATACAACAACGACAGACTGCCGGTCACATCCCTCCTCCCTTGTTACTCTTCCTGTCTTCAAACAAACACCGACGAGGGACGAATGGACTTTTAATGGGATTTGCGGGCCTCCTCCTAATCAAACTCTTTGCCACAAGGGCTGTCTGTTTACATAAAACAAGCGCACCCGTCTGAATGTAAACTGGTTGCGGCTTTGTCTTGGTGGCAAGAGCGAGAGAAAAGGGGAGAGACGGTTTGTTCCAGAGACGCAGGATATGATTAGCATGTTGCCAAACATTTGTTTCGCATTGATTCAAAGTCGGTTCAAAAATAAACTTGAGAGAAACAACAACTTTAATTTCTGCCATCGTCTAGGATTGATAATACGGCTACTCAACCGACAATAACGTCGGAAAAGTAACATTATTGATGGGCTCCATTAAAGAAAATCTACTTTGTACCATGTGCGTCATGTTTCTCTCTTTTTTTGTTTTCTTTTGTTTTTCTCCACTTTTGGTTTGAAGTCGCCCCCTCCTCCATTAGTCAGAGTGATAATGGACTTTTCCTGTGTACAGACCTCCAGACCCTGGCTGCTGGCACCACAATTGTCCATTAGGAAAACAAACTTTAATGTTGTCCACTTGGACCTCTTTTGTCCTTTAAAAAGCTGCACTTTTAAAGCCACTTTCAGGAATTGCCGTTGTTCAAAGTGCATGGATAACAAGAAATGTATGAATGAGAAGCCTACAGCAACACACACGGCTCTCCTTTCATCCCTCCGCTGTTTACACCAGCTAGAAGCTTTTCCGCACTATTATGTGGTCCGTGTCTTCGTCTTTATCATGGTTTGTTTTGCTTCCTCTGCTACTGGTCGCAGGCAGCCCACATGGCAGACAGGTTTAATTTTAAGAGTCTCCTCACACACTTGCTCTTACAACCACTCTGTGGTTTGTTGATTACAGTGGGGCGACATCGCACGCTACTAATTAAATCTGAATCAGAATGCTGTTTGGCGTCTTTTTAATGGATGAAATAAATGGATAAAATATGACTATGCAGATTTCATGGTGTTTTTTGTAATATTTGGTGTTAGCTACAGATTGTAGTTTTATTAGATTTGTCTTCTTTATTTGTCTCCCTGAATGGCCTTGCTGTAATGGCCTAAATTGGCCGGAGTCGTTGGATAAACAAGAGTTTAGCAGAGGAGTGGCTGTGTTGGGACAGAGGAGGGGTGGGGTGGAAATGGCAGGTTTTTTTGCGGAGATTCTGGGTCCATATGTCAGCAATTTGAGGGCATTGTGTACCTTGGCCTAAAACAGAGCTTCATGATCGATGGAGGGGTGAAAATCTCCCAAGTCCCTGGCGCAGAACACAGGCAAGCACGAGGAAATTGCTTTCAGCTGATAGCTTCATTTTGGTTGACATTTATCAAGTGAATTACCCCCCGTCTTTTCTTTTCAAATGTTTACTACTACTAGCACCGCCTTTTGACGTATGTGTGTGTGTGTGAGAGTGCATTTGTCTGTGAGCAATAGAGCTTTGTCTTTGTACTCGTGGTGTGTCTTTTGGCGATTCCTCACCAAAATATACAAGTCTGAATTGGTTCAGTACACGTTGGATTTGATAGTGTTCTGTTTATTGCCGCTGCATTTAAGCAAAGATAACCACTAACACATTTTAAATCTATAGCTTTTACTCCCAAGATGCTCTTTATAAAGCTCTATTTCTACAAAAAGTATCATTCATTTTTGCGTGACAGAAATTGTAATAGAACAAAACCAGGCCATGAAGAAATATCAACAAAATGTTTTAAATTGTTTTATTTAAAAAAAAAACAAGCAAGACTATTTAAACTTTTGCTAGGATAATGGTGAAGGGTAAATTGTAACGTAACAGTAGGACAAGTAGAGAAGGTTCATAAATCAGTGAACTCAGTAATGTCAGTTTTATTCAGGTTTGCTAACATTAGCCTCAGTAAGCTAATAGTGATCACACCAAACATGGCTCAAGCAGCAAAACCCCCGGGGTGTACTCAATTGGACAGGGGTCCGTTTCAGTTCTTATGAATTCCAGTTTTTATTTGTAAGAGGAAGAATTTGTTATTTATTTTTACAATAGTCTCGTTTTAAATCCCCAATGGGAATATTAGTAAGTATGTGCTTTGCAGAGCACTTGCTGAATCCAATTTCTTCCCCTTATTCTTTTAGAACACACAGATACAGATACGGAAGAGTACAATTTCAACTCATTGGAAAAAAGAATCAAAATGCCTCGAGTGTCTATTTCAGTCCTCTCTAACTTCATTCTTCCCCTCTTAGCATTGTTCTACCTCTCAATATGTCCACTTTTCATGCAGATTTCTGTACTGCATTATTCATATATTTTGAAAGGAGCTCGATACAATGGTGTAGTTTCCCAAAAAGACCTACATTATATTGTATCGCCGCCGTGTGCATAATAGACCAAAAATAATGAATGTATACGATTCCTCTTCTTCTCTCTGTGACTCTGTGATTACACATCGAGCTGCGGCGCTCCTGCAGCAGCTGAACCGCTGAGGAGCCCCCGGAGCCGGGCGGAGACAGAGCCAACCACTCAAGAGTAGACAGAATAGGACAGATCGCACACACACACACACACGTACACACACACACGTACACACACCTCTTATTCTGTCTTTTTCTCCCTCTCTTCCTCTTCTCATCACCTCTGGAGTGTAAAGAGCGTCAGAGTGTGTGAAGCCACCCTGAAGATCTCATCAAGGATCCAATCAGAGCGTGAATACAGAATGCACTCTCCTCTTGTGATGTGATGATTGGGGGACAGGGGGGGGGGGACAGGGAGGACATTGAGAGAGCCTGTCTTGAGCGAAAAAATCTCTGCATATGCAAATTGAAGAAAAAAAAAGTAATGGATTTGATGTTCGTAAGAGTATCTGTGACCCTTTCAGGGATGTAGCAACAGGCTCGCAGGAAAAGAATATGTGCAGATTAGCCTATTAATATTTATAGATGTAATTGGTTGAGCTGTGTGGCATGCGGCCTTGTTGCGCCTGGTGTAATGCCAACCACGTTTAGGGGCTAATCCAGGTGGGTGCTCTTACTGCCTCTAACAGGGAAATGGCCGGCCATTTTAGGAGGAAGCTGGATATCCTAATAATCAGGTAAACTAATACCGGGCGGTGAGAGTGTTTCCTTCCGGAGCTCTTGGCATGTCAGTCATTGGCAGAATTGCTCCTGTCTAGTCTGCGAGCCATTTTAACTCAGAGGAACATGCACTCTTTCTCCCCTGATTTAGGAAGGACCACACGGGCCCCTTTTGATAGCCTCTGTACTCACGAGGAGGCTCCCCAAACGTCGTAGGGACCAACCAGACGCTCCAACACACACCTCCTGCTTCTCCAATCTGAACAAAGCGTTCCTCAGTCTAAAGTGGTTAAACTGTCATTTCGAATCGTCTGGACATCGTGATTACCGGCATGGGAGGAATTATATATTTAGCTTTATGTCCGTCGCCATTTCCTCCCCCCGCCCTGATCTGAAGTGACTAGCCAGTAGTGCCCTCGATATTACTATCTCTGAGGAGTTTAAACCTTCCCCCAGGAGACAAGTGTAATCAAGGGCTGCCAGCGGGAGAGAGGGAGAAAGAGAGAAGGAGGGAGGAGGGTGTGGGGTGGAGGGTGTTGGATCCCTGTAGTGATGAGATAGTGGAGGGAATGATAATGGACCCAATTTAAAAAATATATTTCTTCTTCCAAAACCTTTAAAGAATACTGAAGTTCTCAGCCAAGAAAAGAAAGAAAATATGGAAAGGTATCTTCTATGACCTACTTTTTTTTTTATATTGATAAAAATGATTTAATATATTATCAGTACATGGACAATATTTCCCCCAAAAATACTTTCCTTTTGCTGTCAATTTTGCATGTTGCAATAGTTAGTAGAAAATGTCTAGTATCTTTGCTTCAACAAGTGAAATTAGAGCTGGGTTGATTAGGATACAACGAGGAATAAATCATTCTGTCCCTGCAAAAGTTTCAAGTATTTATTTTTTAATTCAGGCCATATGTCATGTTTTCAGATAGTTTAACTTATTTAAAAATATGTTATTGTATAGGCATTATGTCGATAAGTTTCCAACACATCCAAAGGAGTTTTTTAAATGCAGAATAAGGCACTAGAATCAAGAACAATTATTCTACTAAGTGGATCTGTACTCAAATATATCCACATGCCACCTGTTTTTTTTTTTTTTTAAAGGAAATGGAGGATTTACTTCAGCTAATCCTACAGCTAATAACCAAGTTTAAGACAATCCAGCTGTGATGTGCTGTAGTCCAGAAAGAACTTCACATACGGATGAAAGCTGTTGCATGCATGCACACGTACCAAGACACACCTCTCCTTTGCTATTTTTACATTGAGTCATTATTTGGGAAAACATTGAAATATTCTTCCCCAAATTGTTTCCACAATACACTTCTAAAAAACATTGTTTCTCAGTAAATCCACAACGCCCCCCCCAGGATCTCATTAATCCTGAAGAGACTCATTCATCCTCAATAACGTCACCGCTTGCTCATAAATAAAAGTGACCGTTTGGAAAGCAGATGAACGCAGCCAACGGATTGGACAGGAAGTCAGTTAATCTGCAATCCAATCCGGCTCGAGTCTAGTGAAACGCGGCTCAGCTTGGCCGACCGAGGCCTGGGAGGAAGGAAGTGAAGGACTCAGGAAACAGTGTTCAGAGCTTTCACCAGTCATATCCATCACGGTGCACGGTGATGGAAGCATGTGTGTTCATGTGTGTGTGTGTGTGCCCCCGTTTCACCAGTCGTATCCATCACAGGGCTCTGTCTCCAGGCCCGGGCAAGAGAGCTGGAGAGTCATTAGAGGGGCTGGGCTGCAGCTCTGCACTTTAACTAAACATCTTTTCCATAAAATAAATGCTTCCAGGTTAGTGTGGGTCCCGGAAAACCCAGGTCGCCTCGCTTTTGCTGCCACTCATCTGATCCCAATTACCAGACAGACTAGGTCAGAGCCAGCGGAGACTATATGGATGCAGACTTTACTCGTGTGTAAGACTTCAGTGATAACCCAACTGTGGCATCCTTTGGCTTGAATCCACACACCACCATGCACATATGCCCCGCCACTTTACAGTACTCTATCTGTGGTAAAGAAAGACAAATCTGTTTTTTGTCTATGTCTTTGACTGGCATTATTTTGACACCTATATTATTAGTGAGATCTAAAGCCACTTCGACATCTATAGTGGTCCTGATTTAGCATGGAATGACATTGATTTCCATTTCACTCCTTATACACATCTATCTGTATACACATTTTAATTTCTCTATCACAAAAATATTCATATCATTTAGGGAGCACAATGTTGCGTATAACAAGAAGATGTTTTGAAGTGGTTTCCATATATAATATAGTATACTATATATCATAT